TGATAACAGTATTAATGATATATCTAGCCTGAGTATCTGTTATTTGTTTGGTACTAGCAATTTTGATAAGTTGAGAAGATTCTGAGAAAATGAGTTGGGTTTGTTTGGTGTGTTTATTGTTCAAGGTAAACCAATATCCTAGAAATTTGAAAGGTTAATTAGCTAGCCAAAGAGGGAGTATTTCGTTATTAAAGAAGATTGGGCAATAGGTGTTGGGCTTAGCGTTAGTTAATAGTATAGATTTAGTTGAGTTGACTTTAATATTAGCCATGTTATAAAAAGATTCAGCAGCTGAGAGAATGTCATATAGCTCAGTTTGGCTAGATGCAATCTACAGAGTGTTATTCATATAAGCCAACACAGAGCTATTAGCTTCAAGTTTATTAGTAGAAAAGTTTTTTAGATTAGTAGGCCATGAAATAGAAGTTGAATAGCCAGGGAACGTTAAATGTATATAGGTAATGAGAGGGTTATAGTAAATCCACCAGAGCAAGAGAGTAATAGTCTCTCCTTGGTCAATACTATTTTGGACTTGGTAGGGAGGTGTTAAACCCAAATTGATTATAACCTCATTTTGGCGGTTGATAAGTAGGTCAGATAGGATATTAATAATAGGTTGAGGAAAAGAGAGACGGTGAAGAGCATGTTTAAGTAAATCAAGATTAACAGAGTCATAAGCTTTACTCATGTCTTAAGATAAGAGCCAAATCTCTTTGTAATTACAGTTAGCATCTTCAATAAGATTGTTGAGGATGTGAATTAGAATAGATGTGCTGTTGCCTGGTAGGGCAATATAATTAAAAGGTGAAAGAATAGGGTACTGAGAAAAACTTAATTGAGTCTGTTGGTTAAGATTTTGGTATAAATTTTTCTAATATGTTCAATTAGACTGATTGGGCAAGTAAGACTAAGATTTCCATCAAAAGTATTGTTTTTTGGGATTGGGTAAATTCTGCCATGTTTCCATGACTGAGGCATAGTATTTAGTCTCTAAAGATTCCACTTGCGGTATAGCTTAGTAACCGCTATACCCTTATAAAGTTCACTTTTCACCTTGATATTCACATTTGGACTTTTCTTTTTCTATTATTCTCTAACCAGTCCATCACTTACTTCCTGTCTCATTTTGGTTTGTATTTCCATAGCATATGTTTTTTTTTTCCAACTCGGGAGTTTTCAGTTCTCCAGTATACCCAGTTTATTTTTTTAGCATATGTCTTATGACCTGTGTCTTTCAATTCATAGGTTTGCTAAGGTAGAGCCTCTGCTACCAGTTTCCCAAGCTAGTGGTCTAGTTGGTATATACTGTGTCAAGGACCCATAAAATTTTGGTTTTAAAACCTCAAAATTTTTTCTAATAATAATAAAAAATTTAGCCTAAATTTAGCTTAAATTTAGCTAATTTTAGATAAATTTTGATTTAAATTTAGTAAATTTTAAATAAATTTTGATTTAAATTTAATAAATTTTTTTTTTTTTACAAATGAAGATTTACCTTTTGAGTGCGTGTTTATTTATTGATTAGGAATTTGGTATGTTATACACTATGCCTAAGTTAAACATTATGCAATCAAGAATAGAGCTCATAGATAACTATATATATCTAAGAGTTATCTTATCTAATAGCTCAGAGTATCTCTAATCTCCAAATTTACCCCAACCTTAAATCTTGGCTAGATAAAGTCTGAATTTTCAACTTATTAGACTAGGCTTTTGTGTACCCACTCACAATTACCCTTATGCAGTTACCAAGGCTTCTACTTGCAGATAAGGCAGTGCTTCCATTATAGGTCTGTTATATGATGTTCTAGGTTTCTACCCCCATGGTGTTATAGTTCTCTACTCTGCAGGACCACAAACACTTTTTGCCCTTATTCGGTTTACAACAACCCCAATATCTACATTTAGACTGTCTTCTTACCTGGATTCTTTATCAGTCTTTTTCTTACTTCCAGCCAGCAACTCAGACGAGTCGGTTTGCTCAGGCTTTAAGTGCCTAAAGGACACCTTCCTTTTAGTCTATACTTTCAGAGCATATGTCCTTTTTCTCTGGTGTGACAACCCAGCAGTTCAGCTAGTGTATTCTTTGCCATTAGGACCTGGTTGCTTAGTTCTCTGATCTCAGGCTCTGGTTCGAATTTAGCTCTCCTGTGGTACTGTCATAGATCACTGCTACCTCCAAACTCAGACTTGCTAAATGAGTTTTTAGTTATTCTGATTCCCTGGATTTATTGCGCCAAAGCTTCTATTCCTAGATGGTGTGACTAAAGTTACAGATTAATCTAGATTCAACTGATAAAAAGCTGTCAACTGTACACAGGTCTATTTTTCAAAATTATTGCCAGTGGGATTTAAACTCTAGACCTGCCACTTGGAGAGAGTGATGACTAGACTACTACACTAAGTCACCACACCTCTTTAAATTTAATAAATTTTAGATAAAGTTAGAAAACTTTTATAGTTTATTTTTTTATTTTGTTAAAATACTAATAATTTAATATTTAAATTTTACTGATTGTTATCATTAAATATAAAATTAAAAACTAAGTTATATAAATTTATATCTCTAGATTATAGTATCAATATCCAATACAAACTAATCATATACTGTTTAAATAAGTTAAATTTGTATAAAATTTTTATTAAAAATAAAATACGTATTGTTACAAATGAACTATAGCCTTCTTTAAAATATAGTATTTGCAATACAGTACATAGCAACAGAGATCTATATAGGGTCAGAATAGATATGAAGTAGTGTAGAAGTGGAATATTACTTCACTAGGGCGATTCGATATACTTTATACAAAAGTAAGATATATATTTATTAAGATATATTTATTTATAGTACAATATTAAGATATAAGATTATTCTAAGGTATCTATACTTAAAAAATCCTAATAACTTAAAGATTGTAGGGAACAAATCCTAGAGTGCAAGAGAGAGTAAAAGCTAGGGTTTATATAGCTTTTACAACTAATATAAATTATATAATAACAACAATATAAAAGTAAAAAAGGTATAAAAAGTACTAAATATACAAAAGGTATAGAAGGTACAAAATGTATGAAAAGTACAAAAAGTACAAAAGGTATAGAAGGTATGAAAGGTACACTGGATAACAGTTTTATAAGACTGTTATCCAGTTATATTATAATGTTATCTAGTTAGGACGATATAGTCTAGAATTTTATAATATTATCTAGTTAAGACAATATAGTCTAGAATTTTATATTAGATTATATCTGTACCAAGTAGATTATGTCTGTTCTGAGTAGATTATAATTTGTGCAACTGTCCTCAGGTATGTGGCCAGTTATTTAGTTTCTCTTTTCTAGATCGCCTAACTAATTAGGAGAGAAGATGCGCAATTCTACCTTTCTTGGCCTGTTTGAAGACCATCTTAGTTGCTGTCTTGGCCAGATTTTATATTGAGGTGCTTACCTTTTTGCGCCTATTCGGTTGCCTGTCAAAATATCAAAATGTAGTAAAAAAATATTGTGTCGGGTAGCGAAGTAAATCTGTGTTTAAATTTGCCCGGCACTATAGCATAATTCTGGCCGATCTTTAGAACACATAATTTGAGAATCTATCTCACCATGATAGTGACCCGATAGTGTCATAGCACTAGCAGGGAAATGGCAGAAAACCGGAAAGGTTCTATTAGTTCACCAGTTCTGGATTACTTTTATGCCGGTGGTTTGGATATCAAGTTATTGTATTCAAAAATTTGGCTAAAATTATAGAATAGTGCTAACTATAATTAACCGAATTTACTGTGCCTTGGGTTTTGGATACTTCCCTGTCACCAAGAACAAGACCAAAGATATTATGCTTATGATGTTTTCAAGGTATATTGGTGGGATGTTGTAAGCTCTTCTGAGGCCCGATCATAGTTTAAATATGCTTGTGCTGGTTGAGGCAATGAGTATATAAAACTTTGGTAACCTAGTTTCGCATGTTTTTAGTCTGTTCGATTGCCAAGGATGAGGCACGAAGTGCCGAATTAGTTCTGGCTATACAGTTTTCATACCTTTTTTCTCATATTTTCCTGAGCCTTTTCATCTTCCTGAGCCTTTTCTTGCCTATTGCCAGTACTATGCCAAAGCAAAAATTTCTTATCTCTTTTCTATATATTATTCTACCTTGACATAGTACCAGATCTATGCTATGTTTTAGGTTTCTCGCATGGTTGCAGTTGAGGCAATGAGTATGCTAATTTTTTGAGCGTCACAAGTGGCACAAGTTAGTATACGAACCTGTAACAAAATCTGTGACAGGTTTGTTATCTTTCTTGAGATTATTAGGCCATTTTATTTCTTTCTTGATTAATGTCACAAGTGTCACAAATAAAAGAGTAATAAATTCTAGAGAAAAAATTAATTTTTTTCTATAGCACCCTTTGGGATATATATGTAGTATGCTATAAAAAATAAAAAAAGGTAGAAACTTTGAGCCGATTTCTCCTGTGATACCTGTAACACCTGTGACACCATTGAGAAAGCTTTCTTTTGGCCTAGGATTCTCAAAGAGCCTATCGTTTGTATCACAAGTTCGAATTCTAACTTGTGACACTTGTGACAACAAAAAATCTGGCCTATTTTATATCTTAATATACCTGAAACTATTTGAGTAGGGTTTACTATATGAACTTATAAGCTAGCTTAGCCAGCTTTTTCCGTTGGTAGTGTTCCTTCACTCTATGATTTTTTGCATGATTATCGCAAAAATCATATATAGAATTAGTCCATTTACTGCACCCAGGTTGTTTGCAAAGAACTTGTCTAGAATTCTGATGGATTTTACATCTCTTTGGATGATAGCATCCCCGATTATACACTTCTCCAGTTCTAAGGATATATGAAAAATTATAAAATGCCATTTGTGTATATTGATTAATAATCTTGAGGAATTAATTTTATTTTAAACTTTTTTCTTATGAATAATATACCTTGAGATTTGGTATAACTATAAATTACCTTAAATTGCTTGATAAAAAATGACCCAATCTGAGCTTTTAGAGAATTTGGACGGCCCCATCCTTTTTCAGCCAAAGGCTGAAAAAGATAAAATGAAAGGACAAGTAATTTGCTACTCTGGTGAAAATTACTTGACGGATATTCCAACCCGTGATGATTTAGTCACAGAAAACAATGAAGGATTAATGGCAATTCTTGAAGATGCTTTATCTAAGCATCAAGATATTCCATTTATGGCCATTGATGTGGAAGAGTCCACTAAATTCACAAATAGTCAAGCCTGGTATGTATTGCGTCTCTATAGCCCTCTCATCAATGGTCAGAAAGCAGCAGTATCAATTATAGGAATTCAAGTATTCTTTGATATTCTCATACCAGATAAGGAATCTACAGATGCGTTTGAGGCAAAAATAAGAGGCATCCTCTTCAATGCGATAAAATCGTTTAAAATAGAGCATATAAAGGCATTTTCATTTCATGGTTATCATGTGGAAAAAAAGTTATATTTGTGCATTTACACAGTTAATACTAAGCAAAAGAAAATGGCTATGAAAGCTGTTCAAAAGAAAAAGTACATAACTGCCTCAGATGATCAATTCACATATTATCGCAAAATGGCTTGTGAGTATGGAATTTCACTATCAGGATGGTCTACAATAAGTAATTATACGTGCGAAATTGGAGAAAGGAAAAACCCGCTCTGTGCATATGCTTTCCGAGTATCTATAGAGAATTTCCACCCTATAGAAGACCTGGCATCATTTAAAGATCGCTTTCCAATTTCAGCGCTTATGAGAGATCGTATACTTGTTCTCACATGGGACATAGAAACCTATAGTTCACGTGGATTGGGTGAATTTCCTGAAGCGATTAACGAGGAAGATAGCGTGATCATGATTAGCATAACTTTGCATTGGAAAGATGATCTGAAACCTTTAAAACAGATCTGTCTTGTCGATATTGAAACGGCACCAGATCTGCGCTGGATTACAATTATATATGGATCGCAAACTAATTTGCTAAAAGCATTTGCACTTTGCTGGCAGGCATTTGCTCCAGACATCCAACTCGGATTTAATAATTCGCAATATGATTGGCCTTTCGTTATGGAAAAAGCTAATAGGTTACATCTCATTGAATGGATGTGGAAACAAATGTCAGGAAGAATTCACCAGAAAACTTCTAAAGGTATTATACAATGGAATTACTATGGGAAATTAGGAGAAATAACTACTCCAAATGAGTACTCTTCTGTGAAAAAGAATATAGAAGAGAATACAGAAGAGTACGTGGAAGAAGAATTCAGAAGGGATTCTATTTTCATCAAAGTTAGCCCGGAAGATATCTTTAAATCTTCCTTTCTTAAAATACCTGGATGTGTACCAATCGATGTCTATGCATATTTTAAGAAACTTTACCCTCGCTCAGAAATAGAAAAAGAAAGTTCGCTGAAGTTTTACTTAAAATTATGTGGGCTCGAGAGTAAGGCCGATATGCCTTTTAACAGATTATGGAACTACTATTCTGAGACAAAAAAACTCTCTTCTGATATAACTGCTAAAAATATATATGAGGTAGCAAACTATTGTATTATAGATGCGTTGTGTTGCCAAGAACTCGCAGTCAAACGCAATGTAATTAATGATTATAGAGAAGTTGCCTTTATAGCTTATGTATCTTTATTTGATACACATTATCGTGCAAATGGAATGAAGGTAAGGAATTTTCTGGGCACTTATGCCACCAAACACAATATGTTATTTAGTACAATTTGCTACAAAGATAAAGAAAAGGAGTTTTCCCCCAATAAAAGGTATTGAGAATAAGCGTCCCATTACAGGTCTCGATTTTGCCTCATTATATCCCAGCCTTATTATGGCTTACAATTTTTCACCTGAAAAATTAATATTGAGCCATGAAGAGGCTAATAATATACGTGGAAGAGGAATTGAATTATATGAGATTAAATTTCCATTTAATGGCCGTATTCTTTATACCTGGCTGGGCCTTCCGTCATGGCAATTGTTCTGAGAAAAAAGGATTATATCCTACTGTTCTAGAGGATCTGTTTAATAAACGAGTAAACCTTAAATCAAAGTTTGCCATACTATGAAAAGAGAAGGAGTGTCTTGAAAAGCTTATAAGCACTATAGAAGAGAAGGGTAAAATTGTACCGAATGCTTTAAAATCAAAACATGATTCTCTATGCTTTGATTATAATTGCTTAAACTCAAAACAATTTGCTCTGAAGGTGTATATGAATACATTTTATGGCGAGGCAGGTAATAGTAACTTTCCATTCTTTCTTCGTGAATTAGCTGGAGGAATTACTTCAGTAGGACAATACAATATTGGTCTTGTTGCTAGATTCGTTATAGCGAAAGGCTTTGGGATCAGTATAGTGACACTAACTCTTTATATCTTACCTGCCCAGATAAGTATTATAAAAAATGCGATAGAGATTATAATGAAAACAAGCTTTTCAAAGAGGCATATTGGAGTGAAATAGTAAAAATTACTATGAAGGTGATAGATAAATTTCGTAACAAAGTAAATGCTTATCTTAGAATAAAAAATAGTACCTTTTATCTAAAGATGGCGTATGAGGAAGTATTGTTCCCTGTATGTTTTATCGGTAAAAAGAAATACTTCGGAGTTGCACATGAGGAAATAGTAAATTTTAAGCCAAAAAAGCTATTTACTAAAGGTATTGATACTGTAAAGCAAGGTCAAACGGAGCTTTTCAGATTTGTTGGAGAGAAAATCATGAGGGAGGCAATGAATATCGATAATACACACACAATCCATCAAATCGTTGAAGATACTATTAGAGAAGCTAGTGGAAAGCAATGAGATTTTAACCAATTTGTTGCGATGGCTACATGGAAGCCTAATAAAGATAATAAATGTATTCAGCGCTTTATGGAATGGATAAAAAAAAATTATAAAAACAAGATTCCTGATTCAGGTGAGCACTTTAGTTATGTGGTTGTGAAAGGTGAACGGTATCGTGATGAAAATGGTCGGTTAATACCATGTAGAAATGCTGACTATATGGAGTTTTCTGATACTGCAAAAGAACAAAATATGGAAATAGATATCAACTATTACTTAGAAAAGACGGTTGGAATGTATGCACACTTTATCAATGAGGATGAAAAATATCAACCACTTTCTTTATATAAAATCACACAACTTAAAGATTCAGATGAAAAAGAGAAGCAGATTGATGTCTATTCCCAGAACGAGGCAAAAAAATGGCTTAAAAAATATATAAAAACTTTACAATAAACATTCTAGGTATCGCGACTTCTCGTGATAAATCACTCGAAGTCGCAAAATAATTTTTTTTTCGAATTTATGAGAAAAAAATTTCGCAAATTTCTGTACGTGATATTCTATTGTACCTATAAAATGCAAGACGAAATTGATACTAAAGCTTTGGCATATGCCCAAAAGCGTGAAGGAAGATGCTTAGCTAAAGTTAGTCCTAATACATATTTATGGGCATGTAAGAAAAAACATCAATAGGAGGCGTCATATAAAAATATGAAACAGAATTACCGATGGTGTAATATTTGCCCTAATGTACCAGAAAGAACATGCCGGTATATATTTGAGGATTTATTACATAAAAAATTTCCTCTTCGAAAACCTAAATTCTTAAAAGGATTACATCTAGATGGGTATAATGAGGAGCTAGGCTTGGCCTTCGAATATAGTGGTAATCAGCATTATCAAATCGTGCCTTTTTTTCACCCGCAAGGGCAAATGAATCTAGATGCACAAATTTGTTGTGATTGGGAAAAGAGGGCATTATGCTACAAGGAAGGAGTGATTCTCATTACTATACCCTACTGCGTAGTAGACTTAGAAACATTTATAAAGAGCGCCTTATATGCATTCGGTTATCTCTCAATATCCACCTAGGAGGCAACATAGACTCTTCCTTAATATGCATTAATTGTTTTCTTACAAAGGGACGCCAAGGTCCCGATTTATCTAAATAATATAAAATGGGCATGGGAGGATTTTTTCCAACAACAATTCTTCGGATTTTATGTAGGCTGGGAGACCATATTGGATCTGTGATTCTGCGTCGTTTGAAATAATCATTTTCTTATTCTCCAGGAGCAAGCAAAAATTGGATAGTAGTACCCTTTGATAGTCACGGTTCATCAACACCTATTGGACAATTATATTTTACCGATGGTTTGGAATACACTCGCTCAAGTTTTGTGGCGTTATTGGGACTCATTCTAATTAACCGAGTAGGAGTATCATTCATGTTATTAACAATTCTTCTTGCAAATCGTTCGCATTCTTTATAGCGTTCGCTAGTAGGTAAGAGAAACTCTATCGCATATTGATTTTTAAAAACCCTTAATTCGAATAATCCGGCATAATGATCAACCATAGCCAAGCTTGTATGCCTGAAACGTGCTTTAGTTTTTCGGATATTAACATTGTGTTCATCTATTATCAATGTCATGCTTTCCATGAACTCATAACCTTGGTCACATTGCAATAGCCAAGCCTAGTTAAGAGAATTGCCAGGATTATTATATATACTCTTAAATGCTTCCGCGATTTCTTTACTACTTTTTGATGTTAAAAAAATGAAATCTTTATATTTAGTCGCGCAGTCTATAACCAATAGTACATAGTAAAATATTGGGCCATTATCCAACAAACTCGTATCTACATCTTCATTATATGGCATTTCAATTAAATCACACTGGTGTACAGAATTTGGTTTTGTAATTTTAGAGTAACTGGTATAAGGTATATTCTTTGGTGGAGGATGAAAAATTTAATATATTGCTTGGCCATCAAGCTATTTTTTTATATCGTTAAATAGAAATTTATAGTCAGCTTTTTTACAAGCGTCCCACAATCCATCAACATTTTGATAAAGACCCTCAGGCTAATAATAAAGCTTCTGTAAAGTGAAATCCCAGTCAAGATCACATGCTTTTTGAAAATCAATAATAATCGTAGGTTTTGATAATAACAAATTTCTAAGACCACCAGTTCCGGAAAAATCTTTAACTTTTTTTCTCTTAGCGATTTCTCGATCCAGTTCATATGCTTTTTGTGGATCGATATAAATCAAAGGTTTTTCCATTATACTATAGTAAAAAAATATGGAGAAATTACAGCAAAGTAATTAAGAACTCCATGAGGTAGTATCACAATTAGCAGAATCAAATAGGAATTTTGAACAGTGTCTATATACCTTAGAAAGAATTATCAGCATATAGGAAGAGAGAATACGATTTCTTGAAGAAGAGTTAAATAATACTATCGAAGTTTCTACACAAGAGAAAGAAGAATTAATAGAAGAAATTTCAAAATTAAAAAGAATCGTTCACCAACTCGAGGAAGAAAATAAAAGGAAAGACAAAGAAATTTCTAATAAAGATAGATTAATATCAGAATTCGATGAACGCGAAACAAAATTAAAAACCCGAATACGAGAGATATCTAAATCGGCTGGAAATACGCCTAAAGCACAAGATTATACAACCAGATTAGTAGACGAAAACGAACGCCTTAAACGAGAAATAAATACAATAAGGGTTAATCAAATAAATAGGATTAATAAAATAAATCAGCAAAAAAATCATATTACAGACCTGCTTTGTCAAAATTTTGCATTAGCATTATTAAGATATCGAGATAGATTAGAGCTTAGAAATACACAAGAGGCTTTACAAAATGCACAGGCATGGAATTTTGGCGAAAATGAATCTGATTCTGATGAAAATTCTCTAGACTTGTATAATTCTGATGATAATATGGGTACAATAGCTGAATTGGCCGATGCTATAGACCGATCCCTAGATAATACAACAATATGTAGAACGATTTTAACAAATCAAATTAAAAGATCAACAAGACAGATACATCAAAAATATACTAACCTGCAACAAGATTTGGTAAATGAACGGTGGCACCGAGATATATACAGGCAAGAGCGAGATTAGGCATTGCTTAATCTTCATCAATTACGGACTAATGCACAAAACCAAGTGAATAGAATGATAGATAATATGGCAAGAAAACAAACCCGTATCAGTGAATTGCTATGTAAAAATTTTACCTTCCAGTTATTATATCAGCGAAATATCCTCTTTCTACAAGATTGTAGAACAAATAGAGCAATTACTACACATCTCTTAAATCTTACAAATAATCGATACACCAAATGGAAAAATAAAACTCATGCAGAGCATCAGAATAATTTAAATTTAAATCAACAAATTTTGGCGCTACATAATAATCAACAGAATCGAAGAAATGTGGCAGGAATACCACAACCATTTTTTGACTGGGGTGACGATATCCCAGATTTTCTTGCGAAGCTAAGATTATACTTACAAAACCAAGGTGTAAATCTAGCAGATAATGCAGGAGGTCCACCAATGAGAAGAGAAGTAGCTATAGGATATTTAAGAGGCTGTATGAGAAAAAGAACTTTAGAATGGTTCGATAAAGAAATTACTACAAAGCAAAATTGGGAATTAGCAAACTTACTTGATAATACGGGGCAAGCTAACATAGTAGCTATA